ACAGGGCCGCAAGAAGTACAACTATCTCATTCGTCCACAGGAGGGCACTGTTTCCTCAATAATATCTGAAGATCAGCCCTGTGTCTTTAAATACAAGAAAGCAACAAGTATGTATGCAGACCAAAAAGAGACCATAACATTTCTCCAGAGCTGTAAGTTTGCAGTCACCCAGGACACAGACTCTCCACCCTGCTGCCCTCCGGGGGGCGCTACAGGAGCCTCCAGACTAAGACCACCAGGTACCAGTACAGTTTATTCCCCACAGCTCTCTCCCTCCTGAACTCGGCCTCCAGACATCTACGACACCAACTGCACTGCTGTATCCTCATATACACAACAACACATGGACTGAAACTTACCTGCACTTTTATCTGTCAGAGTCTGCAACTTATATATTCAGAAAGAACAACTGAAAGGTGTAGCTGCAGGAAGGAACGACAGACTATTTCATTTTTGTATAATTTTATTTTATTTTTTATGAATTACTGGACGGTATTTTACAAGGTGAGCTGCTACCGAAATAATTCTAACTCTGGCAGCAGCTGATGTTCATCTAATTATACCTCTGGGGGTTTTACAAGCACACATATTTTGTCCCACTGCCTTTTTTAAGCTGTGTCAAAACTGACCTGTGTTGAAGCTGAAACATCTGCAGTCATGAAACACAGGCCTAGCCAAAGCAGTTCATGGCCATGAACCATAAAACAAACAAACAAAAAATTGCAATGAAGTAATAAAAGAAAAGATCAAGAGAAAAGAGAAAAGGACAACCTGAAGCAAACTTTAATTGGCCCATTTTGACCACAAATGGACCTTATCTGTTAAACACAAGAAACACCCGCGGTCATCTTCACCGTGTGCTCAGAGGCAGGAATTGAAAGACGTCATTGTGAAGCCAAAGAATGCCTCGCCATGAATCGGCGTACTTCAATTGGCAGGCACAGCAGGGTGTGTGTGAAAGTGTTGACACACACACTTTGTCAACCTTTGAAAAAAAAAGAAGAAGAAAAAATAAAGGAGCAATTTCTCTTTCAGCAACAAAACAGACCCAGACACAAAAAAGCTTTCACCAGTGACACAAAGTGAAGGTTTTTTGTTGTTTTTTTTTCCCCTTTAAAACTGTCATTGGTGGGAGTGAGAAAAAAAAAAATCACCAGGATTTTACCAGCTGAAAGGGAGACAGGAGGAAAATGCCTCCCACAGCAGCAGCAGGTCTGAAGGTCAGTAAAAGCGAAAAGAAAAGCTTTCATTGTGTCAAGATTCAAAAGCAACATTTGATCATACTCAGTGTCCAATCCGCGCAGTGACAAAAATCCTGTTTCAGCTGCATTTAGATGCTTTGTCACGTTACGCAACGTTCGCCTGCCAGCAGGACAGCAAACACTCAGCCAGCACTACAACGAGATGCTTTAGACCAAACCCGTTCTTGTTTATGAATGGCATAGTCAAAGCCCAGAGAAAAAATGTCAATAAGATTCTGTGGACAGAAGCTCTCTGTCCAATTTAACTCAAAGTAAGTTACTTTGTAAGTAATTGGCGTATAGACGCTCAAAGAGTTGCAGAGGAAAAAAACAATCGTTTTCATGTCAAGAATGTTTATTGATTGAATGTGAAGCATTGATCAGATTAAAATCAGTCACTGGTGTGTATTAGAGTTGTGTTTTTTTGTCTAAATCAGAGGTGCAGAAAAACAAAAAACATTATGATCCACCCTCCACAGTTATAAACGACTTTACATCTGCTATTGTTTGCAGATGTAAAGGAATTAAATATGAAAAAAGAAATCATGGGTTGAAATTACTTAAAAGCAGTTTTTTATGTCCGAAGGATGCAGAAAGGTTCTGTGTCAATTTTAAAAGGCAGCACATTACCTCACATTACCTTAACATAACTGAGAGGAGACGGTTTGGGACCTGTGGTGGTCTCAGCACCAGTGTTTCCAGTTCAACACTGGAGCGTTTGGAGAATGAGCTCATAGACAGCAGAGATAGTCCGCAGTCACAGCAGCCGAGAGTGGAAACACGTTGAGCGTTTAGAACGGAAACGTTCTCCTGCCAAGTGGAACGTTTCTCTTTCAAGTTCTGCTAAAAAGGTCTGCGTACCTCTGCACGTCCAGCAGCACGTGGTGCGTTGATGGCTTCCATCTTCGGCTGGTGAGTTGACCCTCGGGGTGGAATCTCTGTTCGTGTCCACGCTTCCTGAGGTGGACTAGGGCTGAGAGGAGGGGGGACACTCTGTGTCTATCGATGGGATTCATGGAGTCTGTGTGGAATAAAAGCAGAGATCTGAGACAATCCAGACTACGTTTGGTGGGAATGAAAACTACTTCCATCAATATTCTAATCATAGACAATGTGGACGCCGTGTTTGATGCGAGCGACGTTTCTCGCCATTCAAAAACTCTCGAAAAGTGTTCAAGTCAAGTCAGTTGCTTCCACATTGGTTTTCTGTTGCTTTCTTGCACGTCCAACTCTCCCATACTTTGTGTTCACACACAGACACAGGTGGAGCAGCTGAAGCCTTTCCTACATCTCCCACAATGCTGAGCATGATCTTTCTGTCCTCGGAATTAGAATCCTAAGTGAAGAACCGGACAAAGGCTAGTCTTTATTCTATGTTGCATGACTTTGAGTTTTTGATGTAAAACACTTTGAAATGCCTTGTTGCTGAAATGTGCTATACAAATAAAATTTGTTTGATTGAATGCTGTGTGGTTCTGCATATATACATGTCTAATTTTCAAAACAAAAACAGACGTAGTTATGAATTTAACCACCAGCTGAGACAGAGGTGCTGCAGATGTAAGTGGATGCTGATTTGCATCTGGATGAAGAACTGGATGCAGTGTGTTCCTGTGTTGGGTTGTGCTAATGCTGTTCAGGAAACAAATAGCACAAAGCGTTAGCCCCCTCAGTACTATGCACTGAAGCCCACCTCACCGAGCGATCCTGCGGAGGAGACTGACGCTGTGGAGAATCCACGCAGACCTTTCCCTTTGATGGCTGGCGCTACGGAGACGTTCAGTTTGTCACCATGTCCCCTGTGGGCCGCTCGTAATTACCGCAGCCTCGTGATGGGCCTGGAGTCGGGGGGGCCGGCTTTTAAGCCGTCGTTCTCGTTTCGCTTCTCAGATAATGGAATTGACTCGCTTTCGGAGGTGGGAATTTTATTGATCTTGTCCTCCTTTCATTTTGTCAGCGAGTGCCTCTGCTCGGGTCTGGGAGATTAAATAAGAAATGAAACCAAAACAAAAACAGTTGATGCCTGTTAAGAGTTGATATAGAGGTGTTCTGTGTTGCGCTCAAGAAAAAAAAAAAAAAAAAGAGAGAGGAGACTTTAAAACATGCACTTAATTTGTTACATGTAATCAAATTAAGTTTAACGTGAAAACTTAATGTATGTACTTGTAAACAGTGAAGTATTATTTTGAATAAAACAAAACGAGAGGAAATACTGAGAAAAAATTTTTTATTTTGTTTTTTACAAAACTGTAGCTGGTATGTTTGATGACCCTAAAGGAAAGCTTTCATTTGGTGCAAAAAACCCCCAAACCCTCAAATACTCAGATAAGTGAAGCAGCTGCCTACAACAACATGGTTTATCCTTTACGGCGCTCCACGGATCAACATTATTTCAGGAAACACGAGGATTACATAAACTGCACCCACAGCTTAGTGCCATCTGAAATATTCTGCCCCAATGAGCAAATCCTAAAAATGCTGCTCCTAGGTTGGCGCCACAAAACAACGCCAAAGGGTGTAACTGCAGCTGACTGTTCACTTCCTTCCACGACTCGGCGCGCCTGGTGTGTTTTATAGACTTCTTCACGGTAGGGTGAAGCCAAACAGCGATTCGCACTGCACCCTGTGGCCGGGAGATGACAAAGATGCCCTCAAAGTCACAGATGCTTAATTACAGGGATGTTATCGTTAATGAACCGAATCGTCCTTGCGAAGGGCTCGATTAGAGGCGACGGGGTTATTATCTCAGGACACGCTCAGAAATCCCAGCAGACTTTATGATACTCTGGTTTCCAATTACATTTGAATGCTTCGAACACAGAGGATCAGGCTGCTTATGGCAGAGTGTGGCACTCTGAGGCCATTTCATGGGTTATAGCTCAACCATGATGAAGGTTTTTTTGGGGGGGTGTCAAAAGTGAGCGAAGAGACACAGCAGGCTGTGCAAGAGGGGCTGGCAATCTGCTGCCCAGTCCTAACCCAGGCGACCCCCCCACTCCAACACCAAACACAGAGCCACCCACATGCAAGAGTCTGCCCTGGAACAACGCCAACCCCAGTGATGAATTCGTTCAACTCTTCCCAAATCGTTTTATGCTATAACCCCACAAACAGCATTCGCTTCTGTTCAAGGCCCCAGATAGCAAACCCACAAACAAAATATGAAAGAAGCCATTGACTTTTTCAATGTTTTTGTCCCATTTTTTTCTTCACTATTTAACAATCATTCGCTTAATAAGAGGACGATTCCTTCAGTCTTTTTCCTGTCAGGCATGTGTCCACTGCTAATGCTTGACGAACTTGAGAGGCAGCCAATCAGCAAGACGAGGATCACGAGTAACGTTTCAGTTTCCACTAACATTTTCTAATATGAGCCAATCACAAACAGATTAGGTTATACGATTAAAACATTTCAATTCAGTCAATTTCTTTTTTAAATTTTGCATTGCCCTCCACCCTCATCTTCTCAGAGGAGCTCCCAGCACAAATATACAGAAATATACGCCACTCAGTCAGGAACAGCCAATCAGAGCCAGGAGGAGGGTCTTAGCGCTGCCGCAGCCAATCACTACTGTGCTCACTGAACGACAGCCTGTTTCGCCACAAGTTAGCCGGATACAAACGCTAAGGCGAGTTAGCATAACAACAATCGGAGCGCATGAGGTTTTGTTCGATATACGTGCAATTTTTTTTAAATTATTAATACAGAAACCATACACACTTTTGTAAGAGTTAATGAAATTATTGACACACCTGAATTATTTGGATACTTAATACGGACATGGCAAATATTCCCTCCACGTGCTCAGCTTTGTGACGCTGATGTTGCTCCGCCCTCACCTTCTTCCTCTCCTCCTCCTCCTCTTCTTCCTCCTCTCTCGGGTCTCCAGTTGCTGTGTGAGCTCCGTGTTTACTCTCAGGACAGGACCGCCCCTCCCCTCGGCCTCTGCTCCCCCCCTCGCCCCTCCCGCACCGACATGCCGCCCGACACGCAGGTGAGCCGCTTCCCTCTCAGACTCGTCGCGGATCATCTCGAGCGGCTGGAAGCGGCGCGCGGCGCTCCAAGTTCCCTGCACGATCGTAAGGATTCGGGAACCGCCGAGCGTCGGAGCAGGAGGGCGGGCTGGAAAAGGCGACAGTGTGGACGGGAAGGTGAAATGTTTTTTTTTTTTTTTTAATGTGACGTTTTTTGGTTTAGGAAGCTGGAAACTGGGGGAGGGAAAAAAAGCTCTTTCATGTCATTTCCCGCAGAGGAATAGAGAGAACAAGAAGGCAGAGGGTTAATTAATCCCAACATAAATTGGATAAAAAAACAAATTATATGAATCAATTACTTGTCTTTTGGGGTAGACTTCCTGCTCTGCCCAGTGCAAAATGTAAAGTTTAGAACAACACAAGGTTAATTATGCACCCATTACACTGTAAAAAGGGTTTCTTTTAAATGTTAGTCATTAAAATCTAATCCAGCTACTTAGTCTGTTGTGATTCAGGTGTGGCCATTTTCTACCAGTGTTTACAGTTTTTGTTCTACCTACACATATTCTCAGTAAAGTTAAACCTGTTGCCTTTTGGCCTCTTTCATCTGTTTGGCATGCCTAATTATAAATGGCGTTTATAGGCTACAGGTTGTATTATCAATAAATCGATCAGCTTCATAAAATACAGAGACCATCACAAGACTGGTAGCTACCAGAGTTGGGGTCTGAGTGAGACTTAAATTTGGTTCATTTAGGCGAATGCTAATGCTAATGTCAAACATGCTAACAAACCGAGCTTTGACTCATACCTCTCGAAGTAGTTATTTTTAAAATTAGGTTGGAACTGAACTGTTTACTTTGTTATGAAACTTATACAATTGCTATTCAAATAGACAGCATTTGATTGGTCTACACCAGTTTAATTAAATCAACTACTCTATTTTGGTAACAGATCTATCTGAAGATTTCCATTAAAATTCACCTGCTTAATATTCAACAAATTTGCTTTTGAAAATTGGTTTGGAATTTGAAATTATATATGTATTTTTTGCTGATAAACCATATTTGATAAACTTGCTTTTAAATGTGTAAAGCAAATGGGACAAGATTGTCCCTATTGGCAACTTAATTGCTGACTGTTTAGTTTATGGCTACTGTAATGCTGTAATATTGCACTCTAAACAAAGTGAAAATAAAACTGCATTATTATTATTATTATTATTATTATTATTATTATTATAAGGTTCTTGAGCTTCAGCGACCTAAGGTTGTGAGGCAGAATCTCAATCAGTAAACCAGTAAATTTGAACTCCGCTTTGTAAATAAGAAAATGTGTGAAACATATAAAGTTTATTATTTTACAAAGCAGTTACTTTTTCACATAGGGCCATTTGTTTTAAATAACTGTCATCTTCATGGTTTCATAATTCGTTATGAAACCATGAAGTAAGGGAATGAAGAATGCATAGGTGGAAAACTGGTGATGTGGATTATAAACATGGATCAGATTACACTTGTTCCAGCAGGTACCACCAGTTGTCAAGTGTTGGTGATGCCAGCCACCATCAGAGCTGCGGGTTAGGCTTTTGTGTATTTTTAGTATCATGTGCCTTATGGCTTACACAGTCCTATCGTGTTTTTGTTATTATGTCTTTTTTTTATTACTACGTCCTGCATTGAAACAGGACTTAAAGATAGTACTCATTAGATTAAACACAATTACATAACAGGGAGAAGACAATCCCTCTGATTCTTCTGTCTTTTTTTTCCTTGTTTCTCAGGTGTGCAGTGTGTTATCGGAGACTTGTATACTTGACATGTGTTTACCGAGTGAGACGGTAACCTGAGTCCTGTCACAGGGGTGTCCAGTATGCACGCTGTTGCATCACAGCTTTTAGGCAAGACTGATGTTAGAGGCAGCTGTTGCCACCCTGCTGTTGCAGCCATGCTGCTCCTGCTGTGTCTTGGCTTTATTCCCACAGTGGCCCCTTGCCCAAAACACTGCCTTTGTGCCAGTGATATCATTTCCTGCAGTGGGAGCAATCTGTCCGCGTTACCCTTTGGTCTTCCAAGCTATGCCACGAGGCTGGATCTGAGCCACAACGCCCTGAGAACCGTGCAGGTGGACTGGGTTTCCCAACCGTTTCAGCGGCTCACCACGCTGGTTCTCAGCTGGAATGCCATAAGTCAAATCGAGATGAAAGCCTTCACTGCGACACCACGTCTCCTCCTTTTGGACCTTTCATCAAACCAGTTGAGAGTTCTGAACTCATCTGTCTTCAGCGGGCTGACAGAACTTAAAGAGCTGCTCCTGATCGGAAACCAGATTGCCCAAATAATGCCGGGGGCCTTTAGTGATGTCAACAGTCTGCAGAGACTTTACCTCTCCGCAAACAGACTAACATCCTTCCCCCTGAGACTTTTTGAGGACCCTAGAGGACCACGTAACCTGACCTTCCTGGATCTGTCATACAACAGGCTGTCCAAGTTACCTGTCCAGAGCCTGCTGTCTCTTAGCCGCCATGCTGGAATATATTTGCAGGAAAATCCTTTGCTGTGCGACTGTGCATTGATTGCTTTGCTTGAATACTTGCTTTGGAAACAGTATCGCCCACTGGTGGATTTCCAAGTTGGATACCAATGTAGAGGCACTGCAGTTCAAGAGGTTAATTGTACACATCAGGATTTGTCAGACATACACCTGGAGGCACAAAGCTATCGCGTAGAACCTGGCGATTGGCTAAGAGTACCATGTCCTGGATTAGGTCTTCCTGTCCAGCAAGGGTTGATTGTCTTCTGGGTTACCCCAAGAACAGCACTGAATTCCTCAGCAAGTGATCTGAGTTCTCATCTATCGGTTTTTCCCAACGGCACGCTTGAAATCCAAGGAGTGCGAATGGAAGACTCTGGCATATACGAGTGTGTGGTTGCTCGGGGACGCTCCTACGATTCAGGTGAATCTCCAGAAGTCAGGATCATGGTCGGTAACTCAAGTGTCTCCTCCACCACGGGCTTAGCTCGTCGCAGCAGCAGTGAACATTTCAACACGGCGTTCACCACCCTTGCTTCCTGTGTGATCAGCATCATACTGGTCCTGCTCTACCTCTACCTCACTCCCTGCCAATGTCGGGAAAGTCGGGGTGGTGGCTCCAGGGGCTGTGGCGCACGGGCCATCATTCTCTGTTCTGACCCCAGAGAGGTAGAATCAGGACAAAGGCGTGCCAACGGAAAGAGGGTAGCGTTCTTAGAGCCTCAGGCAGAGGACTCGGATATTAGTGTCCCAAAAACACCGGTGATGACATTGGATCACATTTCCACTGAGGGAATTCTCAAAAATGGAAGTAGGACAGTGGGACACACCCTCACAGACCCTGCTCATGAGGTATAGTGAGGGAAAAGCACCTTCTTAACAACATTGTACTGTTGAAAGTCTTATTTTGTGTATTTGAAGTGGAAGAAAAAAAAAACATATGTAAAATGTGAGTTATGTGAAGTAGCTGTTCATTCTGGGTTGGGGAATTTGTCTCAAATGCAGTCCTTTAACAAAGTAGAATTTAAATTATGTCTATTCTCTGTGTGGTGTCTGTTTTATATTCAGAGTTCATATGGAAATGTCCCAGTTATCTCTGAGAATTGTTCATGCATGGATCACAGAGATCATAGAAACGTGGGAGGGCTCTTTAAATTGGGCCAGTAGGGATATTTTCACACCTGACTGATGAGTGGAGTTGGAGGACTTTATCTGTCTAGCATGTGTTCTGGATAAAATTATAGTTTGTCCTTTTTTGTTAACTTTGTTTTTGATAACTTTGTTGTCTCATAAAACTTGTCATTTTAAAATATTCCTTTTTGGTTCAGCTGTAAATGTATAAATGTTTCAAATCATCAGTCAAATTTTAATATTAAACACATCCCATAAATTAACACATACTGTAGTTTTGAAATGGCCATTATTTAAATAAAAATCTATCGGAACCAGCCAGACCACAACCCTAAAGGTGAAAAAATAAATATCCCCTTTACCTAATAACTGTTGTTATTAGGCAATCAATAATTTGCATTAATCTGAAATGAGTCTTTTACAAATAAACATTGAATTGTTTTATTCTGCCATATTGGAAGGTTCTTGAGCGACCTAAGGTTGTGATGCAGAATCTCAATCAGTAAACCAGTAAATTTGAACTCCGCTTTGTAAATAAGAAAATGTGTTAAACATATAAAGTTTATTATTTTACAAAGCATGCAGTTACTTTTTCACATAGGGCCATTTGTTTTAAATAACTGTCATCTTTTAATAAAACGAACTCATCTGTGGGAAACTGACTTTGCATGCAACAAAATGATCTTTGATATTGGAATTAGCTTGATGATCTGAAACACTCTTGGGTGGCGAAAAAAGCAAAGACTGAAATGGGCAAATATTTTTCCACAGCACTGTTTTTACATGCAGTTGTTTTAACTGGAAACCTCATCTGTTATGCTTTTTATTAGCTCTTTCCATTTAACTAAACTGGAATTCAGCATGGGCTCAGAATTACATACAAGATATGTGTATTATTTTCACATAAAAGTGGGCCCAGTGACTCTCAAATGACAAGGTCAGTGAAAATTGCTGCTTGCAAATTTTCATAGTAATGTGGGACTGTGGTGCTCGATTTGCAGAGAAACAGACACAACGCTAAAACATGTAGGAGTAATTTTTTGCACATTGGTGTGAATATGATCATGAAGAGTGCCTTTTATGAGAAGCTCAGATTTGGTTTCAGTGAAGTGTAGTTTAGTGGGAACTTGTCCGGAAAAATGATGCAGCTGTGTTTAAACAACAGATGAACGGCTTCCTCACAGACAAAGTCTGTATTTCCACCACTCAACGTTTTCATTGTTCAACTGCAGGGCTTTCCACTGGCCTAGACTGTTGATCACTCTTTGGCTAAGAGTTTTACAAGCCAAATCAATAGATCACATTTCGAACTCACTTGCAAGAAAAACAACAGAAATGCACTTTTGCCCGTACCGTAGAGAAAATGATTATTTGTGAGGAGTTTGAGGAGGCAACACTGAAGGAGCAACAGTGCCAAAGGCAGTAGCTAGGACGTCAAAAGTCACCAGACAGCGTTTGCCACCAATATTTTTGTCTTTAATATTTCTGCTAAACCCCCATTGTTTTCAAGAAACAAGAAACCAGCTTATGAATACCTTTGGAGCCCATCTGGGTATGAAATTTTGTGAAAAACGGGTGGTAAATTGTACTGAGAAGTTTTTGAATGGTACTCTGATTTTTATATAGGTTTGATGAAGGGAAAATCTATGGATGTTGCGCTCTTGTGGTTAGCTAAATTGGTGTTGAGTTATTTTCGGTGTTGAGTCCCAGACTTATGGCCTTTTGTTTTTTGTTTCTTTATCTTGTGTCTTCCTCCTCATTTCACTTCATATAGACGCTAGCATGTTGCGTGACCTCAAAAACTGTTTACATGAACATGTTACAGGAATCCTCATAGCAAAGTCCAAGGCTTTGCTTTGGTGATTTTTAGCAATTGAGCTGGAGTCATTGGGTGATTCTTTACAACACATCCTACCAACATTTAGTTTGTTGATTGGGGATTTTTTGCTTTTAACATTTCATTTATTTACCTACATTGTCTTTGGCAGTCATTGTGCAGTATACTTCCAGTTTCAACATCACCGCTGAAATGATGCATGGAGAAAAAGAAGTGAAGTTAAATTTTTTGTTTTGAAGCTGTCAAAATAACCCAATGTAATTTTAGAAGGCAGGCGTTTAAGATTAGTGATAAAAATCTAAATCTGTGTTTTGTGTCAATACATTAGAGTTTACAGACTGTTTTTATAAGTGTAGAATGTCAACAATTGTAAATGTCATTGATTAGTCCTTAACAACTAACTGACTGTGTCCTGTTTGTACATTAAATGTTGAAGACGTCTCACGCTAGAAATGACACCTTTGACATTACCACGATTTATCAGAACCATTTGACTGAATACTAACAGGACATGTTTAAATCAGTTAAGAGGTACAACAGGGTTTTCTGTTTCCACTGTCCTATGTGCACAACGTATATCTGCTTGCCATTAGTTGCGCTTTCATTGACGATATAATTGTGCAGGATGACATTTCAAAAATAAATTTTCTTAATGGAAACATGGCAATTTCTTGTTTTTTGATAATGTTTTGGTGTCAGACTGAGATGTTTTATGTGTCACACATACACACAAGTCTCATGACCAACAAGCGGATGTTGCCACTGGTGCAACCCACAAAGAAGAGGACGACAGGAAGTGCGAGGAGGACAATAGAGCAACGTGTTTTTTAATGACTTATTACATGAACAAATTTATTCGCGTGTGATTTCAATTACATTTCATATTGAATTGAAACATCATAATTGCAAAACTGCGTTTTTTTGTGGATATTTGTTAAGGAAACTCAGCTATTGACTCCAAGCTTCAGGTTCTTCCAGCAGGGCAATAATCTAGTAATAATGAGTGTTGCAACTCAGATACACGAAAAGTTTTGACAAGGATTCAGAGTAAATGGCACTAAATTATTCCAGGTTTCCTAATATTATGCAGATAGCTTTTACACCAGTTACTAGCCATACTGGGTTATCTAAAAACATGACTTATGAGGATCTCAACCAGAAGAATATAAGCCGAGTTAAGTGTGTTTAAAGAAAGAGTGTATTTAATGTACACTTTGCCAGCATCTCAAGACCTAATAAATTATTTATCCATGAAGTCTATCTTTCAAGTAAGGAGATCTTTTGCTTCCTGCCTGTGATTCAGAAGGCTTCTTCAGTTCTGAACATGTTTGTAAGTAAGAGGCTCATAAGTTCTAGTCAGAACAATTACTCTAATCGGACCATTAAGGGCACTAATGGGACAATTAGGATGTATGAGTCATTGGCCATGGCTTGGATCATTGTTTCAATGCACAATATCATATAATATCAATATGTGTTAAATGACAGTCGGTTTTTTTAAAGTCATATTTGATATTTGTAACATTGTATAACTCAAGGTAACAGTTACTTGATTATGCTACAAAATTGCACTATGTGGCTGGAAAACACATAATATTGCCCCTTTATATATAGGGGGGAATAAACGCACAAGTACGTAACATCACAGGTAAAGTACATAGCTAGCCAGTTGAACACTGTCAACTACACACACTTGATCCCAATTTACATGTACTATTCAAACCTAGCGGGAGATAATATTCCAAGATATTTCCTGTATTTCCTCACGTAGCATGCATCCTTCATTATGCAAATCTTCAGATGCAACTGCAATGCAAGGTGAAATACTTTCCATTTGCAAACGCCATGCTCAAAGGTACTTATCCACTGTGAGTTTTTGGGCAGACCTCCAACCTGCAGAAGATAGAATTTTATAGCTTTGGAGGATAAATCATGATATGAATTCTGTTTACTCTACTCTTCCTTAAAGGGCCATTGAAGTTCAGGTCCAAATATTCGGATGTGTTTTGCAGCTACAGCAGCAAGGCAAACACTTGACAATTTGATCTTTATGGATGTTGCGGAAAATGCATTTGCCTACATCCCGACCACCTTGTCACCCACACGGCTGGACAGATTCCCTTGAAGATCGATCTGTATCTGCTAGGACAGAAGGAGTGTCTGGGCTTGGCCCGGAGGCTTCAGTCAGCCCAGATCACTATCACACAAATCAAAGCGACGTTTGCTTGAATGCCCTAGAGCTCACTGTGACCCACATTTCTCCACCTTTCCTTTGTCTGATCTCCGAACGTGTGGGATCATTTGCAACATATCACCACATCTGCTAATGTGATGATATGCGTTAGTCCATGCTGGCTGACGCTCTCCTAACCAGGGTTTCTTTTTTGTCTTATGGTCAAGAAGAAAGTAGCCAAGGTGACATTTCGTCACAATGAGTGAAAGTAGAATAGAACGTCTGAGTGCTGGAGGTGAGTTGGGTAGTATATCCAAGAACGACACATTTTGTCCTGTCATGTTTGGCTTCTGTGTTTTCCCTCGTGTGTTTTTGGTATTAGTGGGATATAAATCAAAAAGAGCGATTTGGATGAACCTCCCCCACCCCACACAAAAACAAAAAGTCATGTTACATCAGAAGGATTTAATAACGACAAACAACCTTTTAGTTAACAAATCGCCTTTCCAGAAATCCTCTTACAGGCTTCTGCCGATGCTACCACAAAACACTGATCCTTTTACAGCAGCTCTCCAGAGCCTACACTCCCCTGTTGAACGGTTCGCTTTTTGTGATTGAAAAGCATAAGACCATTATAAATCACTTTGGCTCTTGACACCAACATCGCAAAGTTTAAAAACATAAAATAATCAGTTCACATAAATTTATTTATGTTTGTTTAAGCTTTAACTATTAGTCCACTATCTGGCAAAAGTCATCCAAATCTATCGGATTGTGAGGTCATTTCGTGTCCCTGGTAACTGCATAGATTTAGTTCCTCACTTTGAATAGGACATAAATGTCCTCCCCTGCAGTCATCTGTGTTGATTTGGATGCATGAAAAATCAAATCTCATTTCGTCCTCAACCGTCTTGCATGTTTTTCAGTCCAGGCTGGTGACTTTGTGGACATATTCATAACTCTGGCAAAACCTTATTTTTGTCACCGGCACAAGTATTAATTTAACAAGGTGCACCCATATGCATGCCATCTTTTCCATTTTATATTTTCTCCCAAAGATAATGTTTTTTTTTTCTTTTAGGGGACGAATGAAAGTGGAATAAAATGTCTGGAGGGAATTTGTCACAATATGTGGAAAAAGTTTTTTTTTTAAACAATTTATTATGAGCATTTGGTCTACCAATATTTGTAGATGCTAATATTAAAGACAACAAATTTAGTGTTGGAATGTCAGAAAAGAAATTTTGCGAATGCCATGAGCCTCACAGGAAGCAGGTGCTGAAGGTATTCCTTTTCACTTTGTCGTGACATGTAGCTTTTCACAGGTCTGCAGCGTGACCTTCTCAATGTGCTGCTGGTGTCAGTCCTGTATAAAAGCCTGGAACACATTTTTCACTGCTGTTCAGCAGATAAAAATCTATGTTGTTACAGAGAGAGGGGTTTATGGTCCGCTGCTATCAGTTAGGCGACTTATTTTTCATGGACGAGAATGAAAGAAAACAGCAAATCTAAGGAGTTTTGTTTTCATTTTTTTAGGCAGTAAATGGCTAACTTGTTTATATGGAAGTAGATATAAGAAAAAAATGACAACAGCACAAAAACTGATTTCAGTGATTTGTAGGCAGTGTGAAGATACCATGATTCGCTAACCATTAGCTGCTAATGGCTGTGAAGTCTGTCTCTGCTTTGAAGGGCTACTTAACAGTTTGTTGGAAAGTGAAAATACTGAGATTGAATAATTCAATAACGTCTGAAAGTCTTAAAATAAATCTTTACAATGCCTTTCCAGGTCTACTATAGACTCTTGTAGGACACGAAAAGAAAATACATGTGTAGTTTAGTGAATCCAGGATTGTTTCCTACAGATTCTGCAAAACAAGCGTAATTTTAACATTTATTTTAGAACAACAAAAAAAGGGCACTCTTTCCCCCTAGCCTGGTAAAATAAAAATAAAAACATTGCTAAAACTGCAGGGAGATTACAAATCTAAAACAGCGCAAAAAAAAAAAAAAAAAATTGACATTATTGTTCAAAACTTCTCTATTTCTCTGATTGGCTGAGAAGATTTTTTTTTGGAGGAATCCAAGTGAATGGGAGAAAGTCCAGACTATGCTCTGAAGCGAGAATTGAGTCGAGCAAAATTGTAGTAAACATGCAAAATTTGTCTTTTTCAACAGATTACTGTACAATCAGTAATAATAATCCAACAGAGTACTTTGCAACAATGTCAATAATAGCCTCCTATTATCTTTACGACAAAGAGTTTTGTGTTCAGTTAATTACTATTGTCATAATTGTGGTAAGGCCTAATATAATATGCTGTTCAAAGTTATGTATTAATCACAGATCCTATTAAATATGCAGTAATTGCATGTGGAAGCACTACCCAGCACTACAGAATCATTTACTCTATGAGTCTAATGTAAATGCAGTCGATACCTGACTATTCATAATTCACCTGCACAGAATGGAAGTGTGGGCTGGAACTAAAATAGGAACAGTAATGAAAAACAAAAAAAGACAATGGATCCATTTAGCAAATTGTTCCCATTGTTTTAATTAACCTCAAATCATTAGCCTTGGGTTCTTACTCGTGTTGTTAATGGATCTGGACAGCACACTTTAAGGCAGTCCTGTACTGAAAAGAGCTCGAGTTTCTAATGTGCAAACGACTTTTAAGACGCAAATTTCGTCCAAAATCCAAATAACCTGCATATATTGATATTGTTTGGCTCGGATCCAGTCTTTTTTACCGCACATGCTTATTTTGAAGTCGCATTGGCAAAATACAGCAACAAATCGCAACAAAGATATGAATTTAAGGATTCAGCGAAGGAAGGGCAGAAAGGGACGGACAGACGGGGAGATTGGCCATTTGAGAATTGGACGACGGCTCAGCGGAGGGCTGCGTTCTCCGATTTCAAAGGTTCAGACTTTCTTTCTGAGTTCTGTGTTCCCTCAGAAATTAGCGTCTTTCCTCAAGACACAAAATTCACAGAAAGAGAGAAAGAAAAAGGAAAGGAGGTGGAGAAAATGAAGTAAGGGGAAGCAGCTGCCTATTAGTTTCTTTGAGAAGAGAGGTGAGCAGCACCGCTGAGCCGTTTTGAGTCCGTCTCAGAGGGAAGGCGCTGGCAGCACGTTAGCTCTTTTTAATGGCTCCAGTTGAACTAATTTACTACCATCGTCTGCAAATCTGAACGCAAGATGGATAAAATGAAAATCTGGAATGTTAATATCCAGCCAGCAATACTTTTTAATAAAACAGAGGAGGCCAATATCCTAACAGTAGTGAATGATGAATAATGCAGAGACAAATTATTACATGTCCTGTTGGTCCAATGGAGTCAGATTTAATAGACTATAAGAACTACTTTCAGCTCTGATTACTACTTGGTGCTTACTAGCGCTACATTAGTTAGCTTGTATTTGCCTGGCAATATTTAAAGGGCAGTATTATGTATTTCAATAGCAAAATCAAGT